ATATATATATATATATATATATATATATATATATATATATATTAGTGTTCCTGAAAATAGGTTTAATTTTCTTTATGCAAAATATATTTGCTTATTTATTTAAATTTTGGGACGGATGGGACCCTGGTATGTTCTTAAAAAGTTTTTGTCAAATTCATTTCGCCTAACTGTTAGGTGAAATGAATTTGACAAAACCTCACAAATAAATGTGTGAATGTGTGTGTTGTTGATGACTAACTCAGATATATTCGGCTTTTTCCCTATTTCTTCCATTTAAAAAGAATAAATTAAAGAGGATAAATAAAATAAAACATAATACGAAAAACCATCCCTCCTCTCTCTAAAGAGTAGAGCAGGCCTACATTACCAGAACGAGAGGGTGCAATCATTGACGAAGGTGTCGCTCTCCCGCACCAGAAATGTCCCGTCAACTCCACCTGAATCTGCACAATATTCCTGCAGCAGTCTCTCGGCTGTCTGTCTGCCCTCTGACATCCGCCCGTGAAACCAGGCCTCTGACTGATGAAGCTCTGTACCGCCCTGAGGTGACTGAGGAGAGGTGAATTACACAGTGAATACCTTTAATTTATGAGATTTTTTAAGTGAATCTCATTCTAAAATGGAGCCTCAGTAATTCACCTTTCCAACATCCTCCTCTAGTAGTAGTTCATTCTCCTCAGCAAAATACAATGTCTTATTCTCGATCACACAGTAGTGCTTGTACCATCTCTGTACACGGACACAGTCATACAGAAATTGCAATTATAATCAAGTAAGGCAACTGGAATAAGATGAAACAATCACACAAGCCTGTGATAGTGTTCACTGGACTTTGGCACCTCATCGATTGGATCCCAGATGAAGAGCTCTCCCTGCTTATCTCCTTTCCGCAGGTCCTTTTTGCTAAAGGTCTCATCAATATTCAGTTTCTTGTGCTGTATGAAAAAGTGAGATTGCATGGCTTTGGATTGTATTGTAAAATCAAAGACATTGCAGGATATTCCAATGAAGCTTCTCTACCTTGATGATGATCTTGCCCTTCAGTTGGGTTGGTGACGGCAGTTGTTCTGCTTCTGGTTCCAGCGGCTCCGTCAGGAGCTTGTCTTGGAAAACATCTTTGAACACCTGAGCCATCATTTTTTGCTGCTTGACGTCACAGTGTTCTTCTATGGACAGCACCACAGGATACCTGCCAACAGTGACATGTTCATAAACATACTTCAAGAATACTGCACATTTCCAGATACACTGTGTGCAACATATTCTTAATGGTATTCTCATTAAATTATTTATTAAACCTGTAAAAAAAAAAAGAGCATTAATTAAAGGAAGTACAACAAATATTACCCGTACTATATAACACTTGACATTTAAAATAATATATCATTGTTCATTATTATTTATTCAAGCGGCAGTAGGGGTGTCGAAATTAATCGTTGCATCACAATGCGGACGTGGACGATTCTGCATCGATGCAACTAGAGGCGCTTGTCACGCGATTATTAAAAATGCACTCTCTATTTTAAAATCTGAGCTTAGCTTTTTCCCACACATGGCACGTGTGACTTTCACGTGCGCTTTGTGCTTGTCCTGAAGCTCGCGGCTGCGTTTAAATGCACTTGCATCTACTTTTATGATACGAAATTGATGTAAACAATCAGTTACGTTTTCAGAACAGGGCAAAACATCTGATATGTCGAAATAGATCTGTGCATTAGTGTGAATGCAGCCTATTAAAACTGCCAATCAAATGGCAAAAAAAAGAAAAGAAAAACCCATTACTATGATTAGCCTATCTGTAAACTTTCGGATATGTAAAGCGCTCCCAGATAATGAAAGTGCTTTTTGTTTATGCCTTGTAATTGTATTTCCCCCCTTTATTACTTTATATTTGCTTGTTTTAAAAGCTATATTTAATTTTAATTCTTAACAATAATTAATCAATTATATATTAATTAATATCTTAATTAATTAATATAGTATTAATAATATTCATAATTAATTAATTAACATAATTATTTTAAAAAGTAGCCTACTTATGTAATTTTGATGACTAACTCAGATGTTGCAAAAGCATGATCATTGATGGCCTTCACCACATCCTTAAACTTTATCTTGGAGGTTCTAGTCCAGCCGTGGTATATAATAGGTTCATCGGGACCATTCCAGCAGTCCACTGCATTGCAAAAAAGAAACATTAAGGTCATCAGACTGACTCTCACCGATTTCAGAACAATTTTATCAATGCATTATCTATGCATAAAATTAAGCCGAAAAGGACTTGCATTAGTTCAACAGAATATTAAAGAATATTTATTAAGAAATGAGGGTATGGTTCACTGACACTCAACACAGCGGCAGCCCAGCCTCAGGCAGCGCACGTAAGCTTCTGTTGAGGACTCACTGCGCAGCTGATCTCCAGTCAAATATCTGTGGAGAAAAAAAGCAAAACACATGAAGTAACACAGGAAGTTGATCACGAAGAGGAGGAGCTGCTGTATGTGTGTCGTGAGCATGAAGAACTGCAGCACTGACGTGTTGTGAGAAGAGTTGATCCAGTAGTGAGACAGAGGATTGTTCATGTCCAGTGGGCAAATCTCTGAGAACTTCTCGTCCCAGATCGAGTTCTCTTTGGAGAAGAGAAAACTAAGGAACTAGAAAGACAGAAAGAAAGCTCTAAAAACACATCACCTGAAGTTTACATAAAGTAAACACATCTCTATAACCCGTACCTCTTCAACAGTAAAGGCTGGATCGTTGGTCTTCCTCATGGTGTCATCGATGAAAATGGTCATCAGCTCTCGGACTTGATTTGTATTGTTGGCCCAAGACTCCTACAAAATAAATTCACAGTATTTGTTTTAAACTAAGCATTTGAAATAGTATTTGAATGAAATTGATATATTTGGCTGGTATAGACAGTATATATATATATATATGATTAGATGAATGGATGAGCAAAAAGTCTTACTCTCTGATGAAATAAAAGGAATCTTTGAAAATCGCAGAGTTGAATAGGCTGATCGGTGTTACTGCAGAAAAAAACATACAAAACACTCAATAAGAATGACCTCATGACACATTTAAAGAACTGCTTCAATCAAAACAATGTTTTGACAGTTTCTTACCCCATGATGAAAGCACACGACTCCTTTTTAAACTCATCTAGAATCTAACAAAACAACAGACAACATACTCTATAGATGGTACTAGAAAAGTAAAGACTTTTACATTTTACAATCCTGTTCTTTCTATAATTTTCTGTTAATCAAAGACCACTGAAAAAATATGTATTACATTAAAAATGGCAACTGGCAAGCAGCACAACTTAAGAAAAAAATGGCTAATGACAAGAATTGTTCATTGAGCTCCAAATCAGCATTAGAATGATTTCTGGGGGATCATGTGACACTGAAGACTGGAGTAATGACTGCTGAAAATTCAGCTTTGCCATCACAGGAATAAATTACATTTTAAAATATATTAGAATAGAAAACAGCTATTTTAAATTGTAATAATATTTCACAATATGACTGTTTTACTGTACTTTTTACTTCTACTTTTTTTTTTTAATCGTACCAATCCCAAACTTTTTAAACTGCATACTTACCATCTTTTGGTTGTCAAACATCAAAAGATTGTAGAATTTGTGAAATTGCTCAAAATCCAGAACTTCTTTCTTTGCTCCCACCACCTGAAATTATAAAGTTGACACTTTTAGAGCAAAGCCATTAGCTATTAAAACAAGAAAAAATTAAAAAACTTATGGATAAACAGATGATCATCTGAAAAACTTTAGGAGAGTTCCCACTCAGCTGTCATAAAGTTTTCCATATGATGCAAAGCATACATTTCCGTCAAGATAATGTGTATACAATGTATCATTCATACCGCAATTCTGTCCTTCAAAAAACGTCCACCTGGTACTTTAAAGTTCATCTGTGGCAACAGAGACTTGAGCTCTTTCAGGGTAATGCTGTGAGAGACAGAAAAGGAGCAGTAATGAGGTGAGACAGAAACTAAAATGAGACTGGTCAAGAAGAAGGTGAAAGAGAAAGAGGAGAACCTGTTTTTCTTTGTTTGATCAACCGAGTACATCTGCTTCCTCAGCCAACTACAGTAGAGGGAAAAACACAGATGAAACAAACACATGATTTGTGCTACAGTTCATGAATACACAAGGTACACTCTCTGTATCTGTGTGTGTGTGTGTGTGTGTGTACCTCTCTATAATATCTGGTGTGTAAGCCACCAGTGTCTCCTGTCTGAGTAACTCCAGTCCTGCCAGCCATTTTTCTGCATCCTCCACTGAATCAGCTGTGGAACATACAGCAAATGCTTTCAGCACTAAAAACAATGCAGCTAGTTTTTCCTCTTCAGAACCCATAATTTTCTTCCTTTGACAGTCATTTCTTAACCAGCCAAAGAATAAACTATACATCAACACAGGAAAGCAAAATGCGGTTTCATATGAAATGAATCTAAAACATATTGAAAGAGAGGAAGTACCTCCTTGAATAGTCGAAAATAGTCGAGTAAATCACTCGAATAGTGATTTAATTACACTTATTATATTTTTCAGTTAGAACATGTAAAATGCATAAGAAGACACACATACCCGCCAGACTGAGAGTGTTGAGAACAAACTGAGAGCCATAGAATATAGTAAAGCATGAGTTGGGGTCTATATATTTATCCTTGCTGTCCTTGAATCGATCAAAGTCTTTGGAGTTTTTTCCTGCTCGTACTTCCCGGATCTCAAAAAGGTCCACTGCAAAAATGAGATCACAACATGTAATTTAAAAGATTAATAAATACCATAATAGCACTAGCCCAGATCTGATAAAAAAAAACAGAAAATTCTTCTGGGGAAGTAGTTTGAATACATAAATTGATGTCACTATATGAATATCGGAAACACCATGACAAGGTGCATGACATGTTGTCATAATCAGCAAGTAAGAGTGCACACAGTATAAAATGCACTAGTCATGTATAAAAGAGTAGAAAGATTAGGTGGCAAGGAAAAGAAAAGTAGCCAAGAAAGTGTGTGGGAACTACAAGAAAAACTCTGTGAGTGGAGTGGAATGTTAAAATGTGATGGTCAGTTCATCTCACTATCCATTTTTTTGTCAGATGATTTTTATATAAATTTTATTAGTGATTTACACTGAGCTTCAAAAGTTTGGGATCCGTACAATTACTTTTTTTCATCAAGGATGCATTAATTGATCAAAAGTTAAAGTAAAGACTTTTACATTGTGACAAAAAAATTATATTCAATAAATGCTGTTTTATTTATGTATCAAAGAATTGTTAAAAAAAGTCACAGTTTTCCACAAAAATATTAAACATCAAAACTTCAGACACTGATAAAAATAAGAAATGTTACTTATATAAAACAGTTATTTTAAATTGTAATAATATTTCACAATATTTCTTGTATTGTTGTTATATCAAATAAAGGCACTCTTGGTGAGCATAAGAGTCTTTTTCAAAAACATTTTTTTAAATCTTACCGATTCCAAACTTTTGAACAATAATGTAATTCATTCAAATTTCTGTAGAAAAAACAACTTACAAAAAAAATCTACCTATTTTAACTTGTTTTCCCTTTTAAAATAAACATTCCTTAAAAATATAAATTTAGTATATACTTGAAACATTTTGTACTACAAATATTATTGAGAATTTTTGTGATGATCCTCATTTGTTGCTTTGGATAAAATCACCGGCTAAATGAATTTGTTTAATGCAAATGCCACTTAGTTTGATTTTGTTATATAAAATCGCTTCATATCATATGTCTACATATTTGTAACATCCAATGTGAGCAATCACTTTAAGACAACAACGTACTGTTCTAAATTGCCAAGTTAACTTTAATCATAAAGCTTCTGTAGCTTAAATGCTGAAGCATGACACTGGAAACACCGAGGTCATTATACAGATAAAAACAAACAGCTTAAATGCAAATGTAAGTGTAAATGTGAGAAATAAGCTTGAGGGAAGACACTCACACACTCCTTCTGTCTTGTTAGCGGTGCGCGACCAGGCCACCTGTCGCGTCTCCATGATGACCTGCACTGTAAGCCTCTCCATCCTCTGTCTGAACACAGTCATCACTATCCCCATCTCCAAATCCCGCTTAATGAGACTCTTCTTGTACTCGGTCAGGTCTCCCTGCTGAACGCAGCCCGCCATCACTGCCTTTGGTCACACACTGGCAAATACAAACGGCCGCAGGAAGTTACTTATTGCAGTCTGTGTGGCAGCAGGTACAAATGTAGCCTCATGAAACTTACGTTGTTACTTATAGCAGGTTTGCTTTATTTACAACTGAATGACGTGGCAAAAAATTTTGGTACTTTGAATATCTAAACGCGATGGACTATCTCATATTCAAATATTCAAGATACTGCATGGATCAAATCAAACATTAAATAACTAGTAAATCCAGAAATGAATATTCGGGCATTATTTACTCACCGTCATGTCGTTTTCAAAACTTTTATGACTTTCTTTCTTCTCTGGAACACAAAAGGAGATATTTGGAAAAATGTCTGTGTTTTCATTGTCCATTCATTGGTTTGGACCCCAGTGTCTTTCATTATATGGTCAAAAATGGTTGAAACATTCTCCCAAAAAATGTTTTGTATTCTACAGATGAAAGAAAGTCATACAAGTTTGGAATGACATGAGGATGAGTAATTAAGAATTTTTAAGTGAACCTGCATTGTTTGTTGCACGGATTATATAGTAACTGTTACAGTAGCCTTTTAAGCTCATGTTAAGTGTTCATGAAACAGAACATCAATTCTGTCTTTAAGTTTTGGGTTTAAAGAAGAACAATTGGAGACGACAACGCTAATACTGTAATTTCCCGACCATGCATGTGACTTGCCAGCTCTGATAATAGAAATAATCACCACCTAAAGAGGAATATGACAAGCAGTTATCTGTGACTAAACAGTGCACCTTTTAGAGTCCGTTTTCCAAACTGTTGAACCATGGCAAGCAAAATAGATGTTTCATGTCTGGTTCCCCATAGAAGCCCATATTTGCATTGCAAATGAGTAGCTGAGTACGGTGGAAGTGTCCCAAAGCAAGTCCCTCTTTAAAAGTAAAGTATTAACCCAGTAAACTCAATGTAGTTTCCATTCAGAAACCTTTGTACATCACCCACACCCTCCATTCTTCCATTTTGAGCTTTCTGTGTGAAAGAGACAGAGAAACCACTCTCTTTCCTGACATTTAAACAAGCGCCAAGATAAAACTTTAAATAACAAACCAAAAAAATCAATGTAGATTGACACAAATAAACACGAGATAAGAATAAACGAAGGTCTGTTGCTCAACACGGTAAGAAAATGAACCTGCCACATCCGAGTTTGTCAATTCGTAACTGTTATCATTAACAACAAGAGGCTGTGTAGGCAGACCTGCTCTTGCAGAATTTACTTTTTTGTAGCCCACTGAAACTGTATAGAACAATTTTGCACCTTATTGTGCATCATTTTGCAAATGTAACTTTCCAGTTCAACAGTTTTCCCATTAAGAATGAATAAAGGAGCTTCGTATGACTCCTATTTAGTTTTTATAAAACTCCTTAAACTTGATCAGTGTATATTTAATAAAAACACGTAGGCTTTTAAATCAAATGTTTACATACATAAACAGCTACTGTAACACCCCTTAATGTAAACACCCAAATAAATAAAAATACTTACCCAAGTTTAGAGAAGAAAATCAATGACCACGTCGAAAAACACCTGCTGTACTCAAACTAATTCTCATTTTTAAATATAAAAAATAGCCTAATGCAGTACTTAAAAAAATTAAAAATAAAACAAAATCTATGATCAGTCTAGTCACAGTGCTCAGTTCCTCTAATCGCTAAACACAAGGAAGTGAAGAGGAGAACATTATGACAATAAAAAAAATCCGGAAGCAAAATTATCTATGCAAAATCCCCAGGGAAGAGAGAGCGATGTGTGCACTACTCTGTCAAGCTTATGCGCCCTACTACAAATGTGAATTATACCAAAAACGCGACATCTTGATGCAAGAAAAGCGTTTATTTCAGTGACGAGTGTTCAGGTTGATCAAAGTAGCATGTTGCCATTCGACGTCATCATGACATCACGTCTTTTTCTCTCATTTAGTGTTTTTTTTTTAATATTCTGTAACATAATGACTCTGTCAAACGAAATGTATGACTCTAAATGCAAGCTGAATGCCCTAAAGCAGCTTTTAACTCTAAAAATATAAGCATACTTTCTAAATATAATTTGAGGTGATCTGAAAATGAAAGCACCTGTTTTTGGCAGCTGGGCGCTCGCTGGCAGACTGCGGTAAAGTTGGTTTCATATTCGCACATTCAGACTTCCGTGTTCAATAGCTTTGCATTTAAAAAGGATACTTGCAATTAATTTTCATTACCGACTATAATGAGCAGTACCTACAATCTATTTTTCTGCAGAAGTCGATGTTTTTAAAATGCTTAAAAACACTTTCATGCCTATGGAATGGTGTGACGTCATCACCATCAGAGGGACCGTCTACAAATTACATGATACTTTTATGGCAAGTTTGCTAAAAAACTCTTGCTAAAAGCTTGCTTTTATTTATAACGTTCCAGAGCATGTTGATATATGATAAATGTATTATTTATATCTTTCATAAACAATTTGTGCCTCAAGTGTACTTTTTTTTTTTTTTTTGCTATTACTGTGTTAATTATTGTGGTTTCTTCAGTGACACATGATTAAGTTAAATAGCTTTTAAAAGGCTTAATGGAGTGTTCCTGAACACACTGGAAAATCTTAACTTGACCCTAATAAACATACTACAACTCTTTATTGTGCAGTAGTTTTCTTTATGTGGTCAATTTCTACTACTTCATAATGTGTTGCATTGGTTTCTTCAATGACACACCATCCAGTTCAATAACTTTCCAAAGCAGGGTCACACCGCTCCAAAATAAATTGCAAAATATTTATTTGACCCTGAAGAACATACTGCAAGTCTTTAATATGCAATTATTTGCTCTATATGTTCAATTATTAAAAATTATTATTATTAATTATTAATTCTTCCTGGACAAACTGTAAAATGTTTAGCTAAATTGTAAGAACATATTACAACTCTTTAATGTATGAGTTTTTCATTTTCACAGCAAATTTCCAATGCTATGTTTAGGTAAAGAGTAATATTTTTCTATAATAAACACTATTTTTCACAATTTTTCCTTATTCCGTATTAATATTTTTCTTTATTAAACACTATATTTTTTCCTTATTAAACACTAAAAGGACACTTTGCAACATTGCTCAGTTTGAATTTTTTGCAGTTGGATGTACTTTGACAATTGCAAGAAAAATACATTAACCAATGTGTAAAGTGTCAGCACCATTATGACACCATCATTTGTACAGATTTTATTTTTTCCCCCAAAAATGAGCCCAGTAAAGTGAAAAGGTAGGTTATTATCAGTGGAGAGAAAGGAAGACAGAAGAGCAATTGTCTCACATTAGTGCAAACACATTTGCTCACGTTTAAACAAAGCATACAGTTTGCATTCAAAAATGTGCTACCATGATTTGGTGGCCAAAATCAATCAGTCCCCACATTATCATGGCCTGCTTAAAACAGTGCAAGTTATACTCTTTTGAATGAATAAATGTGAATGAATGTATATTGCCCAAGTTTCCATTTTGGGTTGAAAGGTTTTGAAGGTCTTTTGAAACAATTTCTTCAGAAATTTCAGGCCTATTTAAAGGCACTTGTCTTGTTAAAATCCTTTTTTTAACCTTATGTTCAATGAAACTTTAACATAACTGCAATTTATATAAAATTTCAGTCATATATGACACAAATTGTCATGAATGGTCTCAACTTTATGTTAGTTTAGAATGAGTCTCTACCCAAAGCTCTTGATGTATTTATCCCAACAGACATCCTGTTTAATGTCATGTTCTAACCTGTTTGATGTAAAGTCTCTTTAATAATATGATGGGTCCAGTACCTTGGACAGTTCTGCAAGATTGAAAACATCAATCAATGCAAGTAGATTATGACATTTTGAAACTTCAATGCTAAATCAAAAGAAAATACATTGGAAGATGTAAAAGATAATATCCAGTCTGTTTATTCAACACCTGAAGACCACTGTTATTGGATTGATCCCAAGTCTTTATTACACTTAAAAGAACAAAAACATTAAAAATGAACAATAAAGCATGTTCTGTCCAATTTGTTTTAGAACACTTCAGCCATACTATAAAAAGAATAAGATATTGAACTGGAAGATATGCATTAAAAAAATTTTACACACCACACAGCACACTGCTAGTAGAAATTGAGCATCTGAATAAAATATTTCTTCATCGAAGAATTCTAAAAGCTATTGAACTGGTTAATGTGTCATTGAAGAAACTAATACAAAATGTCACTAGAAATTTCTAAATAAAAAAATAATTTGTCCCTGCTTATGATTTATTATTTGAATGTTCTACACAATAAAGATATAAAGATTTTTGTGTTTCGTTAGTGTTCAATGTGTTACATATAATACACTGTTGCGCCACTTCTGAATGTAAGTGCTATTGTCTCTTTCCTCATCAGATCAGAAATCTCAGAACAAAGGCTTATCTGCTGGTATTATCCCTCTCTGGTGAGGTTGAGGTTGTAATTTGGTGTCTTTTAGTCTCCAGTGAGGTGTTTTGTGGCTGGTGTTGAGAGTGACCACACCATATGGCCCAAGCCTCCTCCTTCTGTGTGGAACCAATTTTCATAGTATAAATGTCAATTTTAGAAAAATGCCCTTAAACCTTAATGTATGCATCCTTTCCTTTTCAACCCACTTTCAAAATACCCTTGGCAATAATGTGTTGAATATATACAGACCAATCATGATATTAAATGATGGAATTATCATTTATGCAGTGTGAAAATTTGATCCCCTTTATTCTAGCCATTGTTACCGCATGGCCAGCAAAATTGCATGCCGCATCTGTAGGTCAAAGGAATTTATGGCCATCTTAGCCTAGGCCTTAGAATGAAAGTAAAGGGGGGTTTTGGGTGAAAAGGTGAATCTTTTGGACCAATGAAAATGCCCTCTCCTGGGTGCTGGGATCACCTTTTTTGGCCAAGCAGGATGTCTGGTAGTTGCCTCCTTATCTGATAGCACTGGACATTTGTGTTAGTCCATTGACATCCAATCAAATTGTAGCAAACCATCCTCCACTATGGCAGTTAGAGAGGGCTCATTTCATAAACTGGACCCCCTGGAAAGTCTCATTGTCTGCTGGTGCACTACACACATATGTTCACATTTCAGCAAAGCATGCAGATTTGCATCTAAAAACTTGCTTCCATGACATGTTGGCCAAAAATGCCAATCAGCTGAAGAATCACATTATCAAGGCTTGCTTAAAAGCTGTGAAAATGTAAGTCTTTCCATTAACAAAAAGGATCTGATGTCAGATCTGAACAGTGACAGTGTCTGCAAGACTGTAAATATTAATCAGGGAACATGGATTATGATATTGAGTGAGTTTAATGTTAGATTAATACAGAAAACAACATAAACATAAAACAGAATAATATATCTTTGTTAATTCAACACCTGGACAACAGTGTTGTATACCTCATTATAATAATCACAGCTCTGTATCACACAAAACTACAAAAACAAAGATGAAATGACAAGAAAACCTGGACTGTAGTTTTTGTAAACTCCTCATAAGGATTTCCAACTTGTTTTAGAGCAGTCGGTCACTCCTTTCAAAATCTATTGAAGTGGATAATGTGTGATTGAGAGAAAAATAATAACAACTACAATACATGGCTACAAATGGAACATAAAAGGCAAATATATGTACATTGAAGAGTATGCTCTATAGAGTCAAATAAACAATTTTCCAACTCTTTCTGTAGCACTACGACCCTTCTTTCTAAAGCTATTGAAGTGGATCATGTGTCAAAGGAGAAACCCATACAAAATGTCAGTAATAGGTATGAAACATATAAAGCAAAAACTCATACAATAAAGAATTGTAGTGTGGTCTTTGAGACTAAATAAAGATTTTACAATCTTCCTTGGATGACTTGATCTGTTTTTTTCCAGACCTATTGAACCGTGTATGGAGTCAATGAAGAAACCAATGCAACACGTTGAGAGCATAAATTGACCATATAAAGCAATAAGTCGTACAATAAAGAGTTGTAGTATGTTCTTTCAATTTTGCTAAACATTTTACAGTTTGTCCCGGAAGAATTAGTCTGTTTATTTCAGAGATATTGAACCATGTAATGTGTCAATGATGAAAACCAATGTAACACATTGGGAGTTTTAATTGCCCATTTAAAGCAAATCGCCCACTGTAGAGTTGTTCTTCGGGGTTAAAATAAACATATTCCACGGTGTTCTGTAACAGTCCACAGAGCCTTTTAAAATAATAATTATAAAACGGATAGTTCCGGTCCTTGATTCTGATTGGTTGAGCCAAGTTCGAAGCTGTTGTAAATTACTCTACAAACATACACCTTTGTTTACATTTGTGTGTTGCTCGGCAACCACTTTGTTGGAACCACAAACATTTTCTGAGGAACTACATTGTTTGGCGGAAGAATAATGTTTTTATTAATATCATTGCACTTTATTTGCTCTGCTTTATTTTTTTGAAACCTTACTACATATATGGAATAATCCGCTTCGCGTCGTGCCTAACAACGCCCCTTAGCTGTTATAAATTAACTGTAAACCACGGCTTCTTGGGGCTTATTGCTTTATAATAATAATTTCATTACACAGTATAAGGTGTGGAACTTTCAGCATAATCAAAGAGATTTAAGAAAAAGAAAAAAAGCCTTCTATTTAGGCACACAGACATCAAGAATCAGCGTGAGAACCTCAACAACGGTAATCATCAAAAAGCATGTTGCAGTGCATTCTGGGTGCCACCAATCAAAACTCATCCCTGGCTCCCATGCATTGTGGCATGAATAAATTATGAGCTGAATTGTCTAATTCATTTTATTCTTACTATTTTCTTTTATTTTTGCTGTTTTTACGTGATTTTTTAGTAGCTTGTTCTGTGTTGCTCAGAGTTGATCTCTTTATCTGCATATGCTGTTTGTCACCATTGTTGAGATTCATACACTGGTTCTTGATATCACTGTGTGCCTAAAAGAGTGTTTTTTCTACTACATTTTTTGATCAGAACAATTTTTAAGAAACCCTTTGGATTACGAACACAACCAACACC